GGGTCTCATATGGTTGTACAACGGAGCTTCTGCTATTATTAGCCATGCTAACGTAAACGCTGGCTTTGGAGGGCGGAGTTAATGACAACAGATTTTTGGAGGGAGTTACCAACAGAGCTCATTAACATAAACAGCTCTTCTGAACAGAAGTCAGAGCAGGCAGAACTAGAAAATGGGAAATTTTATTATCTGAGAATTATTTTCTGCATTAAATTGAATGAACATGGTCTGGATAGCCCACAGATATACCATAAACATTTCTAGGACCCATAATTGGTCTCCTTTAACTGGATTATTAAACCTGTTCTGTGGAACGTCTTTTTCATTTTGCATCTTTCATTTAAACAGAATACGAATAAAAATAAATTGGAAAACTTTACAGATAATAAACAACACATGCCACCAACCTCTCTGTTGAGCTGATCTTCTAATGTCATTTTACTGCTTTGAAGATTTGTTACCAACTCCTCCAAGTGACCACGGACCTGAAGAAAAAAGTGAATTCTTTCTTATCTTTGGTGAAATATTCCTCTTATTGACTGAAGGAAGTCACATGCATCAAACAGACATGGAGTCACAAATAAAGGAAGGCACCACAAAGATTAAATAGAAGAGCAGAGGAAAGATGTTTTTCCATCACCAAAAAGATTTATTCCACCATTTGTTTGGAGTCCTGGTCTAGTAGTTGGTGTTAAAAGTCCAAATACAAGTCATTTCATGAAGAGCATCATTTTATAAAAATTTAATGGAGAATATTTTGAAAATTTGTGTAAAAATGAATAACCCCACACACAAAAACTAAACCTACAACTACAATACTAACCCCTCCTCCAGATGAGCAGCCAGTTAGCTGAAAAAAGATTGAACACCTTAACATTTAAAAACGACTGAAATAAGTTACTCATTGATTAAAAATAAAATGACATTACATTTAAACTTTCAATACGCAGATGCATTGAAACACAGCGTGAGCAAGAAAAAGAGTTTGCGGACTCACCATGGCAGCTTCCTGAGCTCCTTTCTGAAGAGAATCGATTTTATTGGATTGTTGCTTTGCGGTAGCTTCTAGTCTGGCATTCTCAATCTCCAGCCTAGAGTACAATCACACTGCATCAGTCAGACATCAGGTATGAGGCTTTTATAAATCATACAAAATAATTTGATCACTCCTGGAGATGCAAGTTTTTGTGTAAGAAAAGTGTGTTTGCATATACTTTTGCACAGTTTCCTCCAGCTGTTTGATGGTGATCTCAGAAGCTGCTGAGGCAGACAGCGCCTCCTGCAGTTTCTGAGCAGCAGCGTTGAGCTCTTTTTCCCTTTCATCCAGGCTGCTTTTTAAACTGTTCACATGTCGCTCTGCCTCCACATACTGGTCTTCACTTTCTTCAAGCTAAATGACAGAAACAGGACACCCCGGTGAAAAAAACAGCATAAAGTGAACAAAACTTCATGCTCAATGAAAAGACAAGCTGTTTGACATACAGCTGCAGTGGATATAACCTTCTAAAAAGTTTTGTGTTATGAACTTGATACAATTTTAATCATTTCAAAACTTTTCAAAACTTAATGCGACATATCCTGTACAATTCAGCTGGAAAATATGTCAGAAATGGTGCAATAACCTAGCTGCATAAGTGTGAATACATTTATATTAACACAGTGTAAACCATCTTTTGATTTAATCAGTTTTCTTGGGTAGGACTCAGCAGACCAACAAATTGCTTTATAAGAGATGCCTCCACATGGTGGACATACAGGTTTAACAGAGACAATCAATACTGGTTGTTCACATGCAAAGGGGGATCATCAGCCTAACAATTGTTAGGGCCTTGATTATCTCTATTTGTTCACAAAGTGCTGAGTCATAGGCTGTGTCCAAAACGGCAGGACGGGTCCTCCGAAGGTCGAATTTGTCGGCCGCATACGTCACAGCGCCGCGACGAAGGACGTTCAAAACCGAAGACTCCTCCGATGCAACCGACAAATACGTCCTTCCTTTGGCCCGAATCGAAGAACAGGTC